TCCTCCGGCCCCCTCTCTTCTCCTCCGGTCTCCTCCTTTCTCCTCCCGCCTCTCCCTTCTCCTTCGGCCCCCTCCTTTCTCCTCCGGCCCCCTCTCTTCTCCTCCGGTCTCCTCCTTTCTCCTCCCGCCTCTCCCTTCTCCTTCGGCCCCCTCCTTTCTCCTCCGGCCCCCTCTCTTCTCCTCCGGTCTCCTCCTTTCTCCTCCCGCCTCTCCCTTCTCCTTCGGCCCCCTCCTTTCTCCTCCGGCCCCCTCTCTTCTCCTCCGGTCTCCTCCTTTCTCCTCCCGCCTCTCCCTTCTCCTTCGGCCCCCTCCTTTCTCCTCCGGCCCCCTCCTTTTTCCTCCGGGCCCCTCCCTTCTCCTCCGGCCCTCTCCCTTACCTTCCGGCCCCCTCCCTTCTCCTCCGGCCCGTCCCTTCTCCTCCGGCCCCTCCCTTCTCTTCCCGCCTCCTCCCTAGCATCCTCCCGCCACCTCCCGCCCCTCCCTTCTCTTCTCATTGCTGTTTCTCTCTGCACAGGTAACCCGATCAACTGTGACTGCAACATCGCCTGGCTGCTAGCCCATCCATTCTCCACCAGCGGAACGTGCAGCGCTCCACAAAACAGGATTGGCACTTCCCTGAGCGACCTCACCGAAGATGTACTCGGCTGCCCTTAAAGAGCAGACGACGGCAGGTGGCGCTGAAGACGCTGCATCACTGACCATCGTGGATTCTTTTAAATTGCACTGTTACGTCACTTGTTTGTGTTTGTTGTGAGATTATTAATATTTATTATTCACATATATATTTACTAATAATAACTATTGTTATTATTGTTCGTTGTGATGAGTAAAAATGGTGTCGATATTACCGATATTAAAACAGCGTGATATTATAATGACACAAACTTCACTTGTTACTGTTTCTTCTACTGTACGATATAGTTACTGCGGCGATGCGCATGCGGACATTCAAACACTCTTTCCTCTAGTTCCGCAGTGCGCTCTTATTCCGAATTCATATTCGATGCCCTCTTATTACCGTTTGATTTCGTTAGAATTCCTTCACACCCCGATACATTAACATGGGACGTGCTGCTGCCAGCTGCAGGTAGTTGCACATCCCATGTTAATGTATCGGGGTGTGAAGGAATTCTAACGAAATCAAACGGTAATCACAAGAGGGCATCGAATATGAATTCGGAATAAGAGCGCACTGTGGAACTAGAGGAAGGAGTGTTTGAATGTCCGCATGCGCATCAGAATTCACATCGACACACACCACTTACGTTCTAATCAGAAATAACAAATACATTCACCGCCGCAATAGAATACGTGTAGTTGTCAGTAACCGATATCGATATACGTACAGGTAGATGTCGATTATTTCACATACACCGTAACTGAATATTGTACCGTGTTCCTCAAAGGCTGGGGAAGCTATAGTCAGTGGAGATTGTTGATAGAGGAGGGGAAAGAGTTACATCTCTAGTTGGATTGCATTACTAGATAGACAAACCGTAATGATGAACATAGAATATATAGAATAGGGGCCTAATATAGGTATTATAATATAATAATATATAGAACATGAAACACAACGTATAAGGCGATGTACCACGAATCCTACACATGATAAATGATAAATTTGCATGAGATTGTTTGAACTTCAGTAATACAATGGTAATATAATAATTATTATGTATACACATACGTGTTCGCCATCTTCGGTGCTACTTGTACATGTACGCCTTTCGACTTTCCTGAATAGATGGACAAAAATATTTCTAATACAGAATAACGAACTAATAACGTACTGAGCGTCATGTATAATATAGCTCCTTAGTTCCCATAGGGAGTGTATTTATTAATAGAATTTATTACTCATTAACCACCGTACGATATTTATAATTTTTACAAAATATATTCTGGTAATATACTGAGAAGGTACAGAAGTTCGCTTGCGTGACTACTATGTTGCGTGACGTCACAATGCAGCAATGAACAATGCACAAACGCACAATGAACAATGCACAATGAAGCAATTTCATTGTGTGACGTCACTTAATGGACACGATCGTAGTGTCGCAGTGTTTTATCCTAGACCAACGAGCTATACATATAGTAGACCGTACTTGTGCGGATAAAATTTATATTGTAACTTATAAATTTATATATTTATATTAATTTATATTGGGTGGGTAACTTAAATAGAATGGATGAAGGGTTGGGTGATATTTAAAAAAATAGAATACATCAATACATACATAGTCCACTCAAATTAAACCAAATCTATTACACCATTAAAGTGATTACGCACCGTAAATAGTAAAAGTAAAAAAATATTTCCACTTTTTCACAAAATGTAAGTAATTCTGTTCACTCCACACTAACGCAAAGCAGGTTATGATGATACGAGGTTACGACTAAGAGAGCGCGAGCATATTGCAAACAAATGATTTCAGAATGAAACACATATTAACAATAGAAATTAATGCGATAAAAGGAATGTATTATTAGTTGCACCAGTTGGGTATGACTGACTGACCTGCTTCAACACAATGAGGAAGGGAAGTGTTTAATAAAACAAGAAAATTGCGTGATCACAAATTAGGACGGCAAAAGAATTCAGATGTGCCTCACATGCCGCCTCGTGCATTCTACACTTTGTTTCCATATTTTCAAGGGAGGATTCTTAGACAGGTAATTTGTTCTTAGGCGCCCCTAACCCTACACTCTCTTACAAAATCGTTGACTCACCACTAATATATAAGTGCGACCGTAGGAGAATCTATAAACGTGTGAGCGAGCTAACTATGTAAGAAAATTAACGAATTTACCTGTTTTAATTAGTTTGTGGGTGAAGTTAGAAAAATGAATTGTTGAGGCTACTAACGGCTAGCGTTTACTCTCCAAAAAAGGCTAAAATAATCAAATGGTTGTATGAGAGGTTAAAATGAAAGTTCAGGAATAAATACGACAGTAAAAAAATGGAAATTTCTTTTTTAAGAGAAAAGCAAATGACTTTTTTCATGTGATCCAACCATAGTTTCTAATGTCCCATTAATTATCCCAGAAAAGCTTGAATAGCAATAGTTTAGCCAAGCAGCGACCACACAAACGAGATGGGGGAAAAACGTACATAACGTGAACACGTGATGTGCACCCGTTACATCGCCTTGCTATCTGTGTAATGATATAATTAACACGAGTATGAGAAGTTGTAATGTGGCTTTTTATTAGTTTAGGTAAAAAACGGCGAAATTTCAGTATGAATGAGATGGGTGAATGGAGGTTATGCTGCGATGTTTGAAGGAAGCTATATTATGCATAGGAAAGTGGGTCGGGATTCTAATTTGATCTTACCGAAGATGAAGCCATATAATATGTAACGTGTACACGTGAGACACGGCAGAGTGCCCGATCACGTGACTAAGCACGTGACGATCGGGAGCAGAAACTGAAAACTGAAACTTCCAAACTTCCAAACTTTCCAACTGAAACCCACTGACACAGCAGAGTGACCGATCACGTGACGAAGCACGTGACAGGGTAATTCATCTTACCTCCAATCACAGCGGTTCCAACTGAAACCCACCGCACGCCAGACCAGGTGTGTGTGACCTTTACGGTGACCTTATAGCACGTCACGTGTAGGTAAAAGGCCGACTGACCGCGTATAAATAGTGAGCTTTACGCCGATAGAAAGCAGTCAACGTTTGGTCAGCAAGTCAGGTGGACATCAGGAGCAGCAGCCGGTAAGGTAAGCACGTTTACATTTATCTATGAGTTGATATGTTCTCTGCGGACTACGCATCTATAAGCACCGTGTTTAGTATCTAGTTAGGATTCTCGAGTATCTCTCGAGATTCTCAGGTTAGTATTTATACCGTTGAGTAATTGTCAAGAGGGACAGATCGACGTAACCATGTAGATGTAGATGTGTAGTATTTAGTAAAGATCGATTCTCATTCAAAGCGATGTTTCTTTACTATTCGCTGTGATATCGTATTGCTATATTCTCTACGCTACTGGCTTGCGTATTAGAACCAGGCCTGGCGCTTGTGAATTTGGGCTGGCTCTGTGTATAGCTTCGTTCCGTTTCTCTGTGTAGTTACAGATACAAAGAGTTACTACAGCAACCATGTGCAAGCTGGTCATCCTTCTCGTGGCGGCCTTGGTCATCGCCGTCACTCACGCTCACCCACACTCCCACCCTCCGTGTCCGTCGATGCACGTGCTGAGAGACTGTACATGCACCGGCCCGCACAACGGCTACCCTAACATCGTCTGCGATGGTCACGATATGTCCAGCAGCCAAGCGTTCAGCGTCATGGAGGCGTTGCCCCGTGACGTCACCTACTCTAGCATCGAGCTGCATGGGTTCGATGACATGGAGGAGGTGCCAGAGCACGTCTTTGACGGCCTGCACTTTGAACACGGATCACTGAAGATTGATGACAGTCACCACCACGGGGCGGCGCCAGTGCTGCATGCACACTCCTTTGAAGACATGGATCATCTGGAAGAACTCACGCTTTCCTACTTGAAGTTGACTTACGTGCCAGCGATCATCTTCCCTTTCATCAAAGACAGCGTCGGTAAGTCGGAACAGATAGGTGGACTTTGTTGTCTTTGATTGATGTTGGCGTTCATAGTTTTATAGTTGTACTTGACCGCAGTGCAGTGTTTCAGGGAAGCATGTAACCTGTTGCAGAAAGGCTGAGTCTGAAGGGCAACGACATCACGGAGCTAATCCCTGACGCCTTCGATGAACTCTGCAGCACCCTCGTCGAACTGAACCTTGCGGAGAACAACCTTGAGTTCATTCATCCAATGGCGCTGCGCGGCTTGCATAACCTGAATGTGAGTAGTAACAATATACTGTAACGCGCTTGATGAGCAGTTACTAATCGTATATCGATTATAATCGGTCGTTTGCCTTCGATTATCGATCGGTTGAATGCAACCGATGATAGATGATGAAATTCTAACCGATTTTCCTTACAGGTTCTGGACCTGAGCTCTGCTGCCGTCCTTTACCTACTACCGGGCACCTTCATTGAAGTCGAAAACCTGGAAACTCTGGAGCTAGCCGGCAATGGCCTGGTGTCACTGCAGCAGGGCGTGTTCGCTGGTCTTCACCACGTTGAACATCTAGACTTCACTGGCAGCTCTTTGACGTGGATTGCTCCGGGAGCCTTTGATGATACCGAAAGCATCCTTACGGTCGATATGCCCAACCAACACCTCTACTACATCGCAGAGGATGCATTCAGGGGACTGACAGACATTGAGGTGAGTGGGATGCGGAGTATGGGAGGGTGGGAGCATGGGGCGGATGCTGGAAGAGTCGACACTCCCTGATTTACTGTCGGACTCCCTGATTTGACATATTATGCAGGAGAAAACTAAGATAAGATAATGAGATAATAAGATGTAATGTAAGGTAATAAGATACAATGTTCGCTTCAGGAGATCGACCTGTCTGGCAACCATCTTACGACCCTCGCCAGTAATGTGTTTGACGACGACCTGTTTGATTATCATCACTACCATCACCATCACCATCACCACCATGACCACGACGACCACGTACATATAGATCTCACGGGTAGGTGGCGCTGTAGCTGATGCGTCGGCGTACTATAATTTTACCAGGGGATGGTTGACTAGATGACCGTATAACTTTTCGTCATCCCTTCGCTGTATTGTTAAAATTCGTGTACTTACTAACATTGAAAGCGTCAGCAAACCATAATCCTGCTATTCTGTTATTCTTTGTGAACAGATAACCCGTTGATCTGTGGCTGCGACATCGCCTGGCTGACTGTGGATCCATTCTACACCGAGGGCACGTGCACAAATGGCAACAACTTCGCCATCAGCCTTTCCCACCTGCACCTCGCCTGCCCGTAAAACCCCCGGACGTCGATAAATGGCGCTGACATCGGAGCAGCGCTGACTAACGTTGATTAACTGATTAACTATTTAACTGTTTGTTTACCTGTTGAGTCATTAATAATATTTATTCATATATTTACTAATAATAACTATTGTTATTGTCCGCTGTGATAAGTAAAAATCGTGTCGATGTAACCAGTATTAAAGCGGCGTGATATTATATAAATGACACAAACTCACTTGTTACTGTTTCTCTTACGAACGTTCTGTTTTTTCGTACTTCTATTACCTTACTGCAGCGACGTAACACCATGTAAAAATATGGATATAAATCATGAATAAATTAAGAATGGAATTAAATGCACTGTACGCGGAAAGACAACGCACACGTATAAAATGTTGACGCGTTAAAACGCTTTACACGAGTCACTTAACGGTGAGGTTGCGAATTTTTACAAATTTGCGTTCATTAAATAGGCAATATATTTCCACAGATTATACCCACAACTAGGCCTACTTCATATTTTTATAGAATTTGGCCGGGGCGATTTATGTATCTAGTGTTTCCGTTCTTTTCGCCCTCGATTACAGATGTGGACTTCGGTGGGTCAGTGGGCGCATCACTCCGTCGTCCCCCCCATATAATCACTCCACTTGCCTGTCTTGGCTTTATATCAACTAGTTTTTACTTGGTGACTACTAGAAAGTAAATCATGTTCCAGTAATTCCTATCAAACAAGTAGAGCTCCACTGATAGCAATGAAATACTTTTTTAGGTAGGCCTGTTCACATTTTGGATAATTTCATGTCCAGCCCGTCTGTTTATGATTAGCTCACAATAAACATTAAAAGATACCAAAGCTGCATAAATTGTCCAATTTCTTTTTCTCAATAAATCGAAGGGAAATGTTCTGCTAAATATCTATTGAAACCCAGACGCGCCTCACACGCCACTTCGTTCATTGTGTTGAGAGTTGCTGATGTAAGTGCGACCGTAGGAGAATCTAGAAACGCGTAGGCGAGCTAGCTATGTGAAGAAGCATTACATGCTAATAAAGCTTATCTCAGTTAGATCCAAATTAAGTTAAAAATAACTTACACTGACGAAACTTACGATGCGAACATGCGAGCTGCGGGCCCTCCGATTGGTCGGCCGATGACGCGTCACATCCTCTAACCTAACAGCAGGGTAATTATGAACCGGTAGCGATTTAATAGTGCTCACGTACGTCTCTCATGGTATCACACTGGGAAATCATTTCCCATAGGCGGCCATACTTACGAAAAAATTCCCATAAATCAGCAAGTTTTTTTGAGAAATCACAATGCCATCCATTGAATCCACGTCGCAAGTGTAGTTGTATGTAAGTTGTAAGCGTATATGTTATTAACTAAAAAATTCTTCCATAATTTTTTTTTGTAAACAAGCTTTTGCCGGCACGCACTCGAAATGGCCACTTTGCAATGTCATTTTATGCGAAAAAGTAGGCTTTTTTCGAAAATTCCCTGGCCGCCCCAGCAGCTCGCACCCTGGAAGGAACTGGACGAGCCGCTTACACTGTCGGATTCAGCAGAGATTCTAGTTTCGGAAATTAACAATTGCAAAGAGTTCTAACCCTTTCTAATGAGAAATACAAAATTCAAGCGCACACATACACTCAAATACGATCTCATTCTTGCCTGTCCCAGCGCTCATTCGTTGATTTCCCAGTGGCGTCGTACCAACAGGGTAATGAACAGCTAGGGTAGTGCATGATTTAAGCAGTGCTCACGGGTCTGATAATTATGGGTTTTGACACATGCGTCTAAACAGAAGAATTGCTCCGACCTGTGATTGGAGGATAAAAATAGACCCCGCCCACTTTTCCATTTTTTGAGGATAAAAATAGAATTCGTGACGTTTCGTTTCACCGGTCATAGCCGCGCGTGCATATTTGCTAATTAATTAGACTAATCGCGCTTCAATAGACTCAAAATTCACAGATATTAAGGTTAAGACATGTGTCTATAATAGCTCGAATTTATAGAAATGTAACTCAAATCGTTCGCTCCATATGATAGTTAGTACACGTTCCTACCCGTCATATAGCATAGCGTATGCGGCGGGAGTGGGCGGGGTCTATTTTTGTCCTCCAATCACAGGTCGGAGGAATTCCTCTGTTTAGACGCATGTGTTTTGACCACCAGATGGTGTAGTGATGGTCAATATCAGCAACAAGAAAATTTGCAAATGCTTTACATTGTCACAACCCGTCATGCTGCATGCCTGCCGTCACTCTGCACCCACATGATTCCCTTGTTCCTACCAGAAGCAGAGGAACTTGAGAGGGAACCCAGAAGCTCCAGCCTTCTTGTTCCTGCTGCCCTGGATAAGGAACAGGGAAGGCGGCCTATCCTTGTTCCTGCTTGGATCAGAGCTAGGCGTTGCGAGGGAACCCGGCAGAAGCTCCTGCCTTGCTCGTGATCGACGCCTTGCTTCAGTGATCTGCACATGTGGTTGAACGGATCATAATATCTCTCCTTATATTATCACGACAAGGCTGTGCGACTGATTGTCTATAGTATATAGTATATGAGTATATAGTATATATTGTCTATAGTATATCTATAGATACGAGTCTTTTAACCCTAGCAAGACCGTTTCTTGGAGCTAATCTCTCCTGAGAACTAGATTATTATCATCGTTGATTAAATAATTGTCTAAAGAAAATTTCCTGTTATGGACGCTTGCTTAAAGGTAGCGTTACAATTTTGGCAGACATTTCATATCGAAGACTACGAGACTCATGACTATAGTTACGATAGTACATATATACATACATTTATTCACATTTTGATAGAATATTTACAAGTTGAAAACTATGCAAAACGCTGTTAAAACGGTGTCATATACGTACTCTTCTCCTATTATGTACTCTTGATATATATATATATATATATATATATATATATATATGACGTGTGTCTGTATGTATACGGCTGTATGTGTTTGTGTGTATATATGAGCATGTGCCATTTAACATCAACACTCCAAACAACAGAATACCACATTGCGAAAGAGAAAGTCGCTCGTTTTCTTATCCACAGCTTAAATGCTCCTTTATTACTAATACAACTTACGAATGCACGAATGAAAAAACGTGAAAAAATAACAACTGTGACACGTTGTACACGCAACTATAACAGATTACAAAAGGTTTTGGCGGCAGCGGCAGCGGCGGCGGAGGCAGGTCTCTCTCTCTCGTATTTACAATATCGCGTACTGCGGCCTTTCACCTTCGCTTCTCGCCTCCGCATTAATTTTCGTCTCCGACCTACCTCCCTAACCGCGTTATTGCGCGAGGGCCAGCTTGGATGAAAAAAGGTCGTGGACGCGTGACCCGTGTCGCGATGACGTCACGCATCTCGCACGCGGGATGCGATGACGTCATCGATGGAGAGCGATCGTCGGGCCGCCGTCTCTACTGTCCGTATCTGCGACCTCACGACCTCTGGCGAATATCTACAGGCTAACAGCCGCGCTGAACTGCAGCGACGTCACGTAACCGCGCTGGCCGCGGAAAGCGCGGAAGCGGAGGTCACGACCCCACGTACGCCGCCACCCAGCCACCGCGATGCTCTCTTGTTTTCGCGCGCTGGGCAACCATTCTGGCCCCTCGGTTTCTCCGCGGAAGAAAAACGGCGTCCGATCGCGCAGCGGACGTAACTAAACAAAACGAAAACGAAAAACAAGCGCGCGTGCCGACCCGCGAGTCCCCGCAGCGCCCCCTAGGTCGCGGCGAGCTGACGGCGTTACCGCGTGGAAGCGCGCTCGGTGGGACGCCGGCCGAAGAAATAATCGGTGACGATGCCGAGAACAAAAGAGCGTTCGACGCGCCCCGCGTCGACGTCCAGGGCACGCGACTAAACACCAATAGAGAATGACTCGCGTTCGTACGTTTGCACGCCCGCCTTCCCCCCTCCCCCGCTCTTCGTGCATCCCACCCCCACCTCCCAGCCTCCCCACCCCCCAGGTGCCCGGCCCCAGCCCGTGAACCCGAAATTTCGCTACAAATAAATAAGTCTACGCTCGGGCCATTTCGGGCAGCAGAAAAAAACGCTATAAGACCGACGCGATTCTTGCAAAACCAGGCGAACACGTCTACGCTAGAAATGCACGGCGCCACGACGGCGCTGGCAACGCGGTTGCATGCTGCAGCCACGAGTCGCGGAAAGCTCTAACCGAACTAGACGCCCGCGAAGCGTACCGCAACATCGGCAGACGAAACATACGCCCCCCTCTCGTCGCCCAGTCTCTAGCTCGCCAGGGGGCGCCGCTACGGGTTAGCGGAGTAGGGGGAGCCCTCGCGGCGCTGCCTCTCTCTCACGCCAGGGGGCGCCGCTACGGGTTAGCGGAGTACTCTCTCACGCCAGGGGGCGCCGCTACGGGTTAGCGGAGTAGGGGGAGCCCTCGCGGCGCTGCCTCTCTCTCTCGTCTCCGATGCACTTCATCGCTTGAGTCGCTAGCAGGTTGATCGAGACGTACTCCGTCGCCGGTCGCCGCGGCGACGACCCCCCGCCTCCTCCGCTGCCTCCCGTATCGCTCGCCTTCAGCTCCATGTAGTTCACGCTCCCGCCCGCCGCCGCCGCCGCCGCCGCAGGCGGCGCAACCCGGTGGCAGCCGCACTCGTGGCAGACGGCCGGGGTCGGCTGGCAGGGGGAGCCACTGCGAGCGACGGGCCGCATCATGAGGTAGTCCGTGTCGGACGCTGTCGTCGTCGTCGTCGTTGACGACGGCGGCAGAGGCTGCTGCGTGCGCGCCGCCCCGCCGCTCATCTTCACGTAGGGGGCGCTGTCGTGGGGTCGCGACCTCGTTGCCGCGGCGCCTTCCATCATGAGGTAGCCGTCCTCTTCCACGTCGGCGGTCTTCTCCTGAAAGCATGGCGAGAAATTGTTCATTCCATATTCATCTTTGTTCATCCTTCGTTTTTCATACAGAACATTATACGGACTTATTATTAATGACCTACTTTATACTACTGACTTTAAAGTGATTACGTCACTGTAAATAGTAAAATAAAAATAAATTTCCACTTTTTCACAAAATATAAGTAATTCTGTTCACTTTTTATGGTTAAATTGCGGCATTATACTTTTTATTTTACTATATTGTTTGATGTGAACATACACTTGTGACTCATACATAGCCCATAGCAAGCAATTAATGTTAGGAACACAATATCAAATCGTTCATTTTTTTCGATTTTTAACTAGTCGAGAAAAAATCTTATCAGGTAAGAATTTGACGATACGTTTAGTCACGTTAGTTCTTACTTTTAATGTAAAAAAATGGCAACAATTTTTTTTACAAATTTTACCATAGAAAATTCCTGACGTAGTAAATTTAACCCCTTATCCTCCATTTCTCATAACGCTTCCCTTAACCTTCATCCGTCGTCCTACCTCCCTTATTATACCGTATCCCAAGTCTCTCGCCCCCTCCCCCATCCCATCCTCCCACCCCCGCATCTTACCTTCATAGTGCGGCCGTCCATGACGAGGTACAAGTCCTCGACCTGCCGCAGCATGGGGTTAACCACTGCGCAGCGGGGGTGCGAGGCAGCCAGGGAGGGGCCGGCGACGCGCGGGGAGGGGTCGTGGGCGGGGCCCACCCGCATGTCTAGGTACGCGTCCGTGTCCTCCGTCCGACTCTGCGGGTTCACGTACGCGATGCTCCTGTGCGAGGAAAACAAACGAACACCCGTTACCATGACGACCAGGCCGACTAACGTTGCCAGCACATAATTTTGATTGCCGTTAATCGATGTAATGATAATAACTAATCTTGAAATATTTTATAAACCCTATATTAAAAATCATTATAATTATAATTATTATTTTTTATTATAATTATTATTAATATTACTATCATTAATGTTATTATTAATAATTCAACTGCTTTCTTGCTGGAAATTCAACTCGTTCCAACAGTACAAAGACGGATGCTAGCGCCACCTACCGGCTCGAGATTTTGCACGGAGCACTCTGTCGCCGTGGTAACGTGCAGAACTGCGGATACTTGGTGCACTGCTGCTGCTGCGCGGCGTCCGACGGCACCGTTAGTTCGTCGTCGCTGTGGTAGGTGGCACCACCGCCGTCGAGCGCGGTGATGGCCTTCCGATTGACCCGGGCGTAGTCCTTGGCGGAGCGAGGTCGGTGAATGTTGACAACGTTGGAACCTGCGGAGAGACAGAGACAATGTGACAATGTGACAATGTGACAACACGGGAGAGACAGAGGGGCGAGGCTCGTCACTGTTGCTGCTCTCGTTTGTTGTAGTGTTGTTGTTGTTGTTGTTGTTTGTGTAGCTGTTGTTGGTAGTGGTGGTGTCACTGTTGTTTTTCTTTCCCCTCTTGTAATTGTCACTGTTGTTGTTGTTGTTGTCACTCTTGTTATTTGCATAGCTGTTGTTGTTGTTGTTGTTGTTGTTAATTTTGTTTTCAATATCTGTTTTGCTGTTGTTAATGTAGTCGTTCGTGATTTTTTCTGTTGTTGATGTCGCTGCTGCTGCTGCTGTTGTTGATGTCGCTGCTGCTGCTGCTGTTGTTGTTATTGTCATTGTTGTTGTTGTTGTTGTTGTTGTTGTTGTTGTTGGTGGTGGTGGTGGTGGTGTTGTTGTGTTATGTGCTAATGTGCGGCAGCGTTGGCCCTTACCTTTGGATGTGTCAGTACCGCTGGAGGATGCAGACAGAGACTCACAGCTGCTTCCAACGACATTCTTCTCAGCTTCCTTTGCTGCAAAATGAGAAGCATCGAGGTTTAACAACATGTAGTTACAGGGATGGAAGGATGGGTGGATGGATAAGTGGATGGATGGATGGATGGATGGGTGGGTGGATGGATGGATGGATGGGTGGGTGGATGGATGGATGGATGGATGGATGGATGGGTGGATGGATGGGTGGATGGATGGATGGATGGATGGGTGGATGGGTGGATGGATGGATGGATGGATGGATGGATGGAAGGATAGATGGGTAAACTGACAGACGGGCGGATTGACTGACGTGCAGGTCGGCAGATGGGTGGTATACATAGCTACATGTACATGCATACTATCAGACACTAACACACACAGTAATTAGACACTAATTATTAATTAGTAATTACAGTCATGACAGTCATTGCGCTACGGCTGCCACGCTACGTGCCACGCATAACTCACCTTTCTGCATGCGACGCTCCATATCCGTACGCAGCCACGCCGGCATGCTGCCCTCAGACTCCGCCCGCGCTCGCTCGCCCTCGCTGCGAGGCGGCGCCACCGCACGGGGCTTCCTGTTCGGCTTGCGCGAGCGCGGAAGCGAGTTCTGTCCCATCTCGACGTAGTCGGCTCCCGCTAGCGGACGCAGCAGCCGCTGCTGCCCCTGGTAGACGGCGTTCATGTCGGCGTACTCGGACGCGTGCGCCGGCGGCGGCCCCTGCTGCTGCGCGGCGAACGTCTTCGCGCGGCGCAGCGCGGTGGTGCCGCCGCGGCGGCCCGTCGCCGGTGGCGCCGAGTGAGAGAGCTGGCCGAACATGGACGCGGGAAGGCTGACCTTCCTAGACGGCGCCGTTCCGGCCGCCTTGTCCTCGATGCTGTTCGAACGACTGCGGATTCGGAACGAGAGACGCGAGAACAGCGACGAGCGCTTGCGCTCCCGAACGCCGCCAGGGGGCGACACCGCGAGCTCGGCGGAGGCCGAGCGCGCGTGACGCGGCCCCGCCACCGCGTCCATCCGCACGTAGTCCGGCCGCCCGCGCCCGCCACCCCCCGCGCGGGCAGCGGCTGGAACGCCGGCCGCGGTGTGTCAGGCCGCCGGGCCAAACCGGATGTGGTGTCGCTGTCGATCGAATACGCTCGCCGCGTGCGATTCGGAGATTTCTTCGGCGGGTAGCTGACGCCCATCTTGCTGCTCCCGCCAGGGGACGCCGCGCAGCGCCGCGTCGACGGACTGCCATGCCGGCGCGAGGTAAAGAACGGCAGCGCGCTGCCGGCGCGAGGGAGTGCAGGACGGCTTCTCCGTCTTCCGAGTCCTTTCGCTTCACATGCTTCTTCTTGTGCGGCGCCGGCGGGCGCCTCCTCCACTGCGGTCGAAAGGTCGCGCCGCGTCGGCAGGGTCGCGTAGTTCGCGTTCGAAGCGGTCGGCTGAGGGCATGAACGGCAGCAGCCGCCAGCTTTCGCGGCTCGCTCATCCCTACGCTCGGCGCCCCCCACTGCCCGGCTTGCTCTTTGCGGTGGCGAAGGGGCGTGCCCACACCACCACCGCTGTCAGAGGGGCCGAGCACCATCCCGAGCTTGCGCTGGTCTTTCGCGGCAGAGTTCCGCGCCCCGGCCGCCCCGCGCCGCCATCCAATCAGATACTCCCCATCGTTTCCGCCGTCGCCGCCCCCTCCTCCTCCTCCCCCCTCCTTCTCCTCCTTTCCTCTCGCCGCCTCCTTCCGCCTCCTGCGACTCCAGGCAACTCGCTAGTTCCTTCCGACGCCGACGTGCTGGCGCGCCTGGGGGGCGGACGCCGGCGCTCGCGGGCCTCTCCTCGGCGACACGCCCATGTCGCCCCACAGCTCGCGCCGCCGACGGCCACGGGTGCGGAGTGGAACTGCAGGTTTGACCGTAAATTTGTTGTCGTGCGCGCCGAGCCGGCGCCACCTGGCGGCCGCCGCCGCGATGCAGCTGTCGCAGGCTCGCCATGCCGCGCCACGGGTCGCTTGTCGGGCGGCCCGCCGCTGCCGCCCGCTCTCGGCTGCTCTGCACGACGGCTGCACTGCCCCGCCGCGTCAGCCGCGCGCCCCTACTCCCTCGTTCTGACGACACCCCCGGCTAGACGGGCGCCGCCGGCCCCAGCCCGTCTGACCCATCGGTCGATGGCGAGACGCCGCGTGTGGCCCCGACGTTGAGTGCGAGGAAGGAGAATGGCAGCACTCCACCCCTCCTCCCTAGCCTTCTCCTCCTCCTCTCCGTCGCCGGGGGATCCGATCGGGATCGAGGGCGGATCAATTTCTGCGCGTATATTGAGAGGCTCCAGCCGCCGCTGCCGGTCAGTGTCTTCGCGGCCGCGCCGGGACTCAAGGGGCCGCCTCGCCATGCCCGGCGTCCACGGGGCGACCGCGCGGGCTCTCGCCCTCCCACACTCTGCACACTCTCTCTTCTGCGACGAGGTCCTCTCCAAGCCTGAACGTCTCGCTCGACCTCCCCCTCTGCCTCCTCCGCCGCCGCCTGCCGCCCGGCCTCCGCAGCCGCGCCATCGCCAAACCCGAGACTCGCGTAGCTCTATCCGCCCGTCCGTCGTCGGCCGCATTGGCGCGGCGCCCGCGTCTCCGGGGCACGTCGTCGTCGTCCTACCGTCCCGTTACAGACCGACCTCTTTATATAGTGAACCGCGCCCCGTTGAACCAGCGCACTAGCCCGCCCCCGCTCGTGCGTCCCGCGCGACGTCGTGTCCCTGCGCGGGCGACGCGCGCCGGCGAGAGCGTTCCTCTTCTCTCGGTTCTCGACGGCAGTCTGCAACCATCAGCCGCAGCAGTCGGTGGCCGCCTGCTCTACCATGAGGCAGTCCTGCAAGGTGAGACACTGTAATGAGACACTGTATGCAGACACTATGAGCACTTTGAGACACTGTATTGAGACAGCCTGTATGAGACACTAGTATGAAGACACGTATGAGACACTGTTTGAGACAGCTGTTGAGACACTGTATGAGACACTGCTATGAGACACCTGTATGAGACCACTGTTATGAGACACTGTTTGAGACACTGTCGTATGAGACAACTGTATGAGACAGCTGTATGAGACACTGTATGAGATGTTGAGACACTAGACCTGTATGAGACACTCTATGGACCACTGTTTAGAGATACTGGTTGAGACACTGCTATGAGCGACACTGTATGAGTTACACTCTATGAGACACTGTATGAGACACTGTATGAGGACACTCTATGGACACTGTCTGAGACACTGATATGGAGACGCTGTAGGGAGACACTGTGTAGACACTGGTATGACGACACTGTATCGAGACACTGTATGAGACACTTGTATGAGACACCTCTCCTGTTTAGACACTCACTCATGAGACACTTCGTATGGAGGGTACACTGGTATGCATGACACTGTTTGAAAACACTGATATGAGACACTGTATAGAGACACACTGAGACATTCGTGTATGAGATGCACGTGTATACTCATCACACTCGCTGCCAGATACGTTAGCCAATATTAGTAATATATATAATATGTCATTAATAGATAATATTTATGAAGACACAGTGATCCGGCACCGTGCGCACCGATGCTGTGGTCTAGTGCCAAGCCCAACCACCTACCGATGAATGCGTATTCGGTCGTATCGTAAGTCCGCGTCCCTCGTAGCTTTCCATCAATCAAAACACTTCTCCTCCTCCTCCTATATCCTCCTCCGTCCGTCGTTCTTCACCTTCCCTTCGGAGCAGCCACCTCAGGCGCCCAATCTGCTGCCTGAGAAAGTCTCGGACCCCGCGATATCGACCATGCGGCATGCCGCGCCACCTCGGGGCGCCCGCAACACATCGCCGTAGTAGCCTGCTCTGATCTCAAGTCGACCCCTTGACCCGCGGTCGCGACCCGGGAAGCGCTGAATCCCCGCCGCCCGGAGTCCCGTAAGGAAGCGAGGGGGGGGGGGGTAGCACTCCGGTCACACCTCTTATCCTACGCAACCGGGCCGAACCCAACCGTTCCGCCGTCAGCTCAGCCAGGCCACTCGCTGCCGCCCGCGACGCGCCTAGTGCGGCCAGTCCCTGCTGCATCGCAGGTGGCTCGCCGCGCGGCGCCTTAGCCGCACAGCCCGGCTTTCCCCTGCTTTTTCCCTGTCGTCGCCCATGAGTCCGACGCTTCGCCCCGCCTGCTGCCCGCTGCGGCACAGAACCTGTCCGCGAACCACTTTCATTAGTCGACGGGGCGGTGCCCGGCCTCCTTATTTCACCAGCTCCTCGGCGCCACGCGACTGTGCGTCCGCCTTCGTCCCGCGTCTTTAGGGTGGCGCCCACTGTCGTCACCCGTGTTCGGCATTCCGACGTTTTTTTCATCGAGCTGCGAGATGCAGCAGATCGCGCGTAGGCCTTCGTCGTCGGCGGTGTTCGGCCAAACGCCACGACGCCGCTTCGCTCCGCTGGAATATCTCGACGACGCAATTCCGCTCTCTCCCACCGAGTGACGTTCGCGCTTCGCCGCTGAGAAACTGCCGCCGAACATCTGCCGGATCGCCTTGCGCACTGGCGAACAAACCTGGCCACGTCAGCCGTTGATGTCATCGATAAATGCTGCCAACTGTGCATCGTGCATCGCATATATATATAGTCAACAGTTACTGTCGCATCATGACAATGCCATTTTTATATTGTCAGCAGTTACTGCTCACTTGATGCATTCCAGAATGCATCGTCAGCCAGTCTACTCTGAGTTGTGCCTAATGATGATGTCAGCAGTTACTGTGCATCGTGCAATGATGATGTCAGCAGTGCATTGTGCATTGATGATGTCAGCAGTTACTGTGCATTGTGCATTGATGATGTCAGCAGTTACTGTGCATCGTTCATCGATGATGTCAGCAGTTACTGTGCATCGTGCATCGATGATGTCAGCAGTTACTGTATATAAGATTATGACATAAGAGGTAGACAGACATAGCAGGGTTCGTAGCGACATTTACTACTACAAATAATTCAAGTGATCAATATAATATAAAATCATTATTTAAACTTATTTAATTGCAAATAACAAATGCCAACAAGCTGACAAAGGCAGCCACGTTTTACCTTCTCTGGGATAGGCGGCTTGATAGTCAGTGTGCTCCCCGAGGGGGAGCCACCGTGCGGCGACGCGGTGCGAGCCGGCGATCCGTCCTCGCTCGTGGGGCCCGGCGGGGGCGGTAGGAGCTCGGAAAACGAGCTCGCTTCGCCAAAGTTAGCGGAGGCGAAGAGCTGTGGTCGGTCGGACGACGCGTGGCTGCTGCTGGTGCTCGACTGTCGTGAGCGGAAGCTGGCGTCGTTGCCTGGGCAACGGGAGACAGGGAAACGGTGACGCGACAATCGGTCAGCGAGCGTTAATGAGTTCGTTATTTATTGAGTCTGATGTAATCGTTAATTTTGACATAAGTCTGATGTGAGCACACGCACGCACGCACGCACTCACACAGGCCACACACGCACACACGCACGCCACACACGCACACGCACACACGCACGCACGCAGGCCACACACGCACGCACGCACGCACGCCACACACGCACGCATGCACGCACGCCCACGCACGCACGCCACACACGCACGCACGCATGCCACACACACACACACACGCACGCATGCACGCACGCCACACACGCACGCACGCATGCATACAGGCCACACAGGCCACACACGCACGCACGCACGCACGCACAGAGAGATGAGAAGTACTCACATGAAAAGTTGCGCAGGTAGAGTCGGTGTCTGTTCGAGGTCAGTTTGCCCTCAGCTGCCAGCTTGAAGGCAGCGACCATATCCTCAGCCTGAGAGCCGAGCAGCACATACACACCCATGCCAGCTACCAAAACAATGATAGCGTCAATAAACAATGAAATCAAGAAACTAGGGAGTGGGACATTAATATATTGATGATTAACCCATGCCAGCTACCAAAACAACAATAGTGTCAATAAACTAGTTAATGAAATCAAGAAACTAGGGGGTGGGGCATTGAGATATTGATGATTAACCCATGCCAGCTACCGGGATGGAAAACAACGATAGTGTCAATAAACAATGAATTCAAGAAACTAGAGGGTGGAGCATTAATATAATATTGATGATTAACACGTTCAACGCTGCCCTGGTTAACAATGCACCTACCGCCCTGTGCTGAGATTTTCGCGTTTTTACCGCTTAGTCACCTATTACACAAAATGTTTTGGCAGGTTAACTAGCTATAAAATTATTTATAATTAGTGGCTAGTATAATATAGATATAAACTTACTCTCAGACATCAAAACAACACCGAAATCTATCACCCGTGATCTATCAAATCAAACACAACTTTTAGACATAAAAACAACTTCACAACACACGGCGGTCAAACGCCCTTTGGCGAGGTGAACTAAAAACATTACCTCAGTCCCAAAAACTCCCAAAATAACGTTCCAAACAACAGTAATGTGTATAAATTATGTCATCTACTACTGGGGTTTATACAGTGACGCTATTAAATTGCTAAGCGTATAGCCCCTGCCATCTATAGGAGAACATAGTAAACGTTCCAAATTAATTATTATTTTTTTTTTTTTTGCCACGAGTATACTTGTGTTTCCGGCGCTGCGTTTTGCAGGTTCAAACGAGTATACTCGTGTTTCGCGTTGAACGTGTTAACCCATGCCAGCCCTACCCACGGAAAGGTCCCCAACCCTCCCCGCGGACCCACGCACCCCTCCACCCTCCCCGCGGACCCACGCACCCTCCACCCTCCCGCGGACCCACCTTTGCCGCAGCGTGTGCCGCCCTCGAAGCAGGAATCGTCCGTTGATGACTCCGAAGCGACGTAGGTGGTGCAGCTGCCACGAGTGCAGGACGCGCGGCGGGATGCCGCACGACACGCAGAACGAGCGGTTCTGTAGGTGCAGACGCGCCGGACCGGTCGGCAGACGACTCTTGGTCGGCACGGTGACGACCTGAACGAGGAACTGTCGGTCTGCGTGCGAGAGAGAGAGAGAGGGGAGAGGGTTAGTGTCAATGTATAGTGTGGGAGAAAGGGAGGGGGAGAGAGAGAGAAAGGAGGAGAGAGAGAGAGGAGAGAGAGAGAGAGAGAGACAGAGAGAGAGAGAGAGACAGAGAGAAAGAGAATTAAATCGTCCAGGTTTTTTGGATTTTTAACAAATTGAGAAACAATCTTATCAGGTGAGAATTTTACGATACGTTTAGTCTCGTTAGTTTTTACTTTTAATGTAAATAAATGGCAACAAAATTTTTACAAATTTTACGATAGAAAATTCGTGACGTTGTCAATTTAACGATTAACGACTTACAACGCCACAGCAGCGCCTGTACGGATATATTGCAAAGGCTATAAAATCCGTCCACAGATGGCGCTGTTAGTCAATTCGTGACACTACATCAAGAAGGTAACCGCGCTGCTACACAAGATCAACACAAACACACATACATACACACGCACACACGCACACACACAGCAGATACACACACGCACACACATACGCACACACGCACGTACGCACACACAGATACACGGCGCGCGCACACAACACACACAGCACGCGCACACACACACACACACGCACGCACGCACGCACACACACGCACAAACACGCACGCACGCACGCACACACACACACACACACACAGCTCCTGCAATGCATGCCGCAGCTCCTCTTCCTACTCACCATCCCAGTCTCTAACTCACTCCACCACACACGCCAACGCCCCGTCCGTCACCCCACCCACCTACGCTCGCAGCATCGCAGTCCCTATTCTAGCCACGGAGGGGAGGGTGGGGAGCGGAAACACGAGGGACGGGGAGGGAGGGTTCGTGGTTCCAGCCTTGGTTAAAGAGGTGGACGGGGGTGGAGGAAGAGGGGAGGGGAGGGAGGGGAGGGGAGGGAGCGGGAGGGGAGGGGAGGAGGGGAGGGGAGGGGAGGAGAAGAGGGAGGAGAGGGAGGGGAGGGGAGGGGTTCATTTGATGAAGCGTCAGGGGTCGTTGATCTATTATCTCTCCCCCTTCCCCCTTATCTGCCCCACCCTCACCACGCAGCAGCAGCAGCAGCAGCAGCATGCAGTAGTAGTAGTAGTAGTAGTAGTAGCAGCAGCAGCAGGCAGCAGCAACAGCAGCAGCAGCAGTAGCAGCAGCAACAGCAGCAGCAGCAGCAGCAGGTGCTAGTAGTAGTAGCAGCAGACAGCAGCCAGCAGCAGAAGGCAGCAGCAGCAGTAGTAGTAGTAGTAGTAGTAGTAGTAGTAGTAGTAGTAGTAGTAGTAGTGGTAGTAGTAGTAGTAGCAGCAGCAGCAGCAGCAGCAGCAGCAGCAGTAGTAGCAGCAGCAGCAGCAGCGCGCAGCAGCAAACACTGTTAACGACGACAGACACTCAGACAAGGCTACTGGCATCCGACATTACTGCGCATGCGTGGTGGACCCGCGATGCAGCGATGCGAGTAAGTGGTGAA